GGTAATCACAAGATGGCTGCTGCGCCGCATCAGCTGATAATCATCTCTGCTTACCGGAACCGCTTTCCTGAAACTGCATTCCAGGGAGACCCACCTACAATTGGGGAACTGCATTAGACCCACCCTTAATCAAACCCTGAATTGCACTAGACCCACCCTTAATCCAACCCTGAATAGAATCTATGTTCTCTATTGTTAAAAACTTTATGAGCTGTTAATTGAAACACTAGCCCCTCTCCCTTTACTTGCATGTAACACATTTTCAATAAAAACGCACGATGATTCCTAGCAGTTGTCACCCCTCAGAGAGCGATCTTTGAGGGGTGTCCAGCTAAGGACGTACATGAAAAAGGCACCGAGGCCTTAGTCTTCTTCCGGCATCACCTCCATCGAGATAACCCACCCACGCCGAGGCTAGACCCCCGGCAGGACCGAAATGATACCATAAATCAAATGGACTTGACAGGCATCTACAGAACTTTCCACCCAACAATGACAAAATATACATTTTTCTCACCCCTACATGGAACCTTTTCAAATATTGACCACATGATAGGGCACAAAACAAGCCTTTACAAATTCAATGGCATTTAGAAACTTCCCAGCATCTTCCCCAACCATGACGGAATTAAACTGGAAATTAATTTCAGAAAAATCCCATGAAAATATACAGACATACGGACACTAAACAACTTACTCCTGAATGGCTTCACAACCACGGAAGAAATTAAGACTGAAATCAAAAGAGTTATTGAAAGCACTGATAATGAGTACACAGGTTTCCATGTTCTCTGAGACACAGCAAAGCAGTCATAAGAGGGAAGTTCATATTGGTTAGTGCACACAAGTAAAAGATGGAAGGTGGCAAGTAGACAACCTGACAACACACATCGGGAAACTGAAAAAAAAACAGCAAAAACAACAACAACAACAAATGCCAGGAGAAAAGAAATAATAAAGATCCAAGCAGAAATAAATGAAATAGATAATAAGCTAACTATACAGAAAATAAATGAAACCAAAAGCTGTTTCTTGAAGAAGATAAGCAAAATTGATACACTGTTAACTAGACTCATTAAGAAGAAGAGAAAAAGGAACCAGGTAAATAAAATTCACAGTGAAACAGGCACTATTACAACAGATGTAAGAGAAGTACAAAAGATAGAGAATATTATAAGAAACTATATACCAACAAGCAAGAAAAAGATAGAGAATATTATAAGAAACTATAATACCAACAAGCAAGAAAATCTGGATAATATGGACAAATACCTGGATACATATAAGCTACCAAGTCTGAATCAGGAAGACACAGAAAGCCTAAATAAACCAATAACAAGTGGGAAAACTGAATCAGTGATAATTAACCTCCCAAAAAAGAAGGGCCAAGGTCCTGATGGCTTCCCTTCTGAATTCTACAAAACTTTTGAAGAGTTAACCCCATTCTACTCAAATTATTTCTAAAGCTCCAAAATGAAGGAACACTCTCAAATTCATTTTATGAAGCCTCCACCATTCTCAGTCCCAAAACAGAAAAGGACTTAACAAAAAAAGAAAATTATAGGCCAACATCTCTGATGAATATAGATGCAAAAATTCTCGACAAGCTACTAGCAAGTCATATTGAATGACACATTAAAAAGATTGTACCTCGTGGGACCAGCAGTTAGCATAATGGCTATGTTGCTGGACTCCACAGCAGGCAACCATGGTTTGCATCCCGGACCCAGTGGTTTAAAACTCACGCCGGGCGCGTGTGCGTGCGTGCCCAAGATCCCGAGAGGAAAAAGGAGGAGAAGGGATTGCGGCATGGCCATCCCCCCTGGGGGGTGATTTCTTGCTTTCTGTCTCTCTGTCTCTCTCTGTCTGTCTGGCAAGCACACACGCCCCCTATCGCAAAAACCTCTTAAAAAAAAAAAAAAAGATTATACCTCGTGACCAGGAAGGTTTTATTCCAGGGATGTAAGGATGGTTCAACATATGCAAAACCATAAATGTAATACACCATATTAACAGAAAGATAAAAACCATATGATCATACCAATTGGCACAGAAAAAGCATTTGATAAATTACAACATCCCTTCATGATTAAGACTTTCAGCAGAATCGGCATCAAAAGGACAGTTCTCAACACAATAAATGCCATCTATGAAAAACCTATCGCAAACATCATACTGAATGGGGAAAAGTTGAAAGCTTTCGGAAGCTAAAATGTAACTATATGGAAGTTACATTTTAAAATGTATTTGAAATACATTCATAGCTCACCATGTGGGTAGCTTTCTTGAATGCTCCATGTGTGCACAGAACTTGTATTCTACAGCTATTAGAAGCAATAGTCTACAGATAGTCATTAGATCAAACTTGCTATTTGTGTGTAAGTTTTCTAAAAAAGTCTTTTTCAGTTGTTCAACTGTGTCAATTACTGACAGACATATATTAAAGTCCAAAAACAACAACATAAATAAATAAATATAATCATTCTTAGCTTTCTGGCTGTACAAAAACAGGAGGAGAGGCACCTTTGGTTAACTGGTTATCAACTGCTACCTAAGAATGGGAACATGAAAACATGAAGGACCACCAGATGGTATAACAGTTAAGATGCTGGTCTCCCACATGGCTGACCATAGTTTGAATCCTGGACCTGGTGGTTTGAAACTCATGCTGCCCACATGTGCAGGTGTGCCTGAAATCCTGAGGGGAGAATGGAGGAAAAGAAATTGCAGCATGTCCATACCCTCTGGAGGAGGGTGATTTCTCGCTTTCTGTCTCTTTGGCATGAACACGTGCCCTATAGCAAAAATATTTCTCTCAAAAAAAAAAAAAAAAAAAGGAAGAAAGAAAGAAAGAATTTTTTTTTGAAGAAAGAAAGAAAGAAAGAAGAAAAGAAAAAAAACATGGAATATGTTTGAATGTGTTCAGAAAATTAAATGTGGGGTCTTCAAAAAGTTTGTGGAGAATGCATATTATGAAAATCTATGCATGGATTTTAATTTTTCTTTGCACCAACAGAAACTCCTACTTTAATTCTATTTCTCCATGAACCTTTGACATTCCCTTGAAAAGTCCTTTAGGAAAACTCATCAGAAGGTTTTTAAATCATCATATTCATCCAATTTTAATTTTAAAATGTATTGAAGAAGAGCTACATTATTTTTATTTATTATTTTAGAGGTTTTTGCCTTAAGGTACATGTGCTCACCAGGGAGAGAGAGACAGAGACAGTGAAAGGGAAAGTGAGAAATCACCCCTAGGGGCTTAGGGCCATGCCACAATCCCTTCCTCTCTGTTCCCATGGGATCTCGGGCATGCACATGCGCACATGCACCTGGCATGATTTTCAAGTCACCTTTCGAACCCAAATTGTGGTTGGCCATGTGGGAGTCCAGCAATGTAACCAGTCTGGCTTCTGCTAGTCTCAGGTATTTTCACTGATGTGTTAATAAATAATAATTTACTACAAAACAGGAATTTGCTAATCTTGGACCACATTACATGAGTTCAGTTTGTGTATGTGTGTGAGTGTATATTGTGATGTTTTAGACAGGGTCTCATTGTGTCTTGATCCTCCTGCTTCAGCCTCCAGAGCAGCTGGGTCAAAGGCACACACTACCAACACCTTGATCTTTCAGACGATCTTGCTATTTGCTTTTGTCTTTCAGTTGAGTTTAATTTTCTTGATATGAAAAATAGCATGCCAGCCCCATAGCCTAGTGGTTAAGAAAGCTGGATCCTACATGGCCAACATGGTTCTAATCCCAGCCCCAGTGATTTATAAGTACACCAGGTGCATGTGCCCCAAATCCAGACAGGATGGACAAATGGAGGAGAAGGGATTACAGCATGAAGACACATGTACGTACGATCTCCAAACTCCAACAGGATGCAGAAATGGAGAGACTGAGACATGATCACACTCAATTGGGGAGCACTTCCTCCCTCTCCCTCTCTCCCTCTCTGTTTCTCCCTCAGTCTTTGGTGAGTGCACATGACCTCTGACAATTACAGAGAAGAACGGAATCAAAATAATCTACTTAAAAGATAATTTTATATGGTCCTAAGGAGATATTTATATGATGATCTTAAAAATATTTTAAAAATACTTGAAAATATGAATATTTTGAATGAATCCTGAATAAAATTGTAACTTATCAGAAGGCAAATATTTTAAACATTTTGAACATTTCAAAATTTAAAATATCCATGTTTATACATTTATTTTTGAAAGATAAATCATTTCAAAATTAACAAATGTTACAATATTTTCTTAATATTTGTAGTACAAGAAAAAAGGAATATAATTTACATATAAATACATACAGAAATAACAATAAAATATATCTGATAACTCTAATACTTGAAATAGTTTACAAAAACATTGTTTTACACAGTATTTAAACACTATTGTATAGCCTTAAATGATTTTTTCTTTCAACTATATGTCATTGAGAGATAAAAAGTATTTAAATAAAGCATAATATCGAGCTGCAGTTAATAAACTCTACATGTTTCATAACCAAAGCTTTTGAATAGTCATTTTCATCCAGTTTTACTTTTAAAATATATCACATCAGAGCTACATTATTGTCACTGATGCATATTTATTAATGACAAAACTGCTTTTTCAATCTAAAAAAGAAAGCTCTTCTTATTAATCTGGAATGAAATAAAAAGCTCATAGATAAAATAGTTGCAACTTGACATTAAATAGAGTTTCCAGCAACAATAAATTAAAACATAAAGGAATATTACTTAATGATTTCTGAAATTCAAGACGGTAATTTTTAAAACCCTAGGTATAGAGAAAAATGAAAAACATTTCCTTTTTATTAAAAGTCATAGTGTAATCCCTTAAAATAGCCTTTGTAATATATAATCACACCTAATGTGACACTCCCTGCCAAGTAAAAAAAAGAAAATGCAATTTCACTAAAACGTGAATTTGAACCTTTTTCATAATTGTTGAATGGCTTTTATAAAAATAAAAGTTTCCTTAGGAAAAAAAAAATCTGCCAATTGGGATATTTGGGGGCAAAGAAAAAGGCATTGTTCCCTAAAAATATTGAAGTTCAGTCCCTGGCTGCATAAACATTCCTGACTTATCCAAATAACAAATTATTGTGCTCCTAGAGACTAGCTCTTCAGTTCTTTTCACAAGCATAGTCCAAGATGACATCTGGAAACTGTCACCAAAATAAGATGCTTGCTTGTTAGGATTCACAAGCAAACATCTGTGAACAGAATGGCCCGGGCTGAGCCACTTCCATCACCAGGAAATGCATTTGTCCAAAAGAACTGTTAGTGATGCTCTTCTGCCGTCCTGCCATATCATCTAGCGTCCTCTTTTGCCAACCACAAATTACAACGGTTTGAATTTATATTTAAACTCAACGTCACTTAACGGTGGGAGAATGCCCAAGCCTGCACGGGACTGGTCCAAAGAGGGGCATTTCACATGCCTGTCCACAAGCTCCAGTTCAAAATAGGAAAGCATCAGAACCAGAAACTGCTTGATTTCATGGACAGCAAACAATCTTCCAGGACATATGGTGGCCCCCGACCCAAAGGGCATGTAGTAGTACTTTAACTTGAGTCCGTTACTATAGAAGGTGGTTTTTGTCTTCCCATTTTCATCGAGATAGCGATTATATTGAAAAGTCTGCAATAAAAATACAAAGAAAACAAGCCTATAAGCTACTTTTAAAAGGAATTTATTTTTTCCTTGATCTGGAAGCACCAAAGAGCTTCCATCAGGCAGAACCAGATCTAAGGGTTACGTCAGAAATCGGAAGTATCAATTCATTAATTAACCTCCAATTTTCTGGATTTAGAAACAGATGCTTTTTAAACAAAAATTTAAAAGGCAGCTTTATTATCATGACTGCAAGTATATCTAGTGGACACGGTGTGATGATAAATATCCAGGTTAAATTTAAAAATTCAGTTCACTCTTCCAATTTTCCCAAATATATAAATATTTGACATACGTAAGGGGAAAATCCCCATGGTGGCAATGATCCAATCAATTCTGCAATGGTAAATTTCTTCCCTGCTTAGATCCGTGTAGATGTTACCCAGACATTAAATTGTGATGAGCAGTCACTTACCAAGGGGTCCGGGTAGATTTCTGGATCTAAGTGCATTAACTGTGGGTAGAGAGCTATGATGTCATCTTTCCGGATGTTATAGGAGCCATCCTCAAGGTGCAAAGTGAAGTCCTCCTTAGCAGTCCGGATGTTCAGGGAGGCACTGGAAAGCCTCAGAGACTCCTTGATGATACTATCTAAATATTTTAAAAGAGAGAAAGGAAAGGAAGGAAAGAAGAGGGTGAGAAGGAGGAAGGAAGGGAGAGAGAAGGGAAAAAAAAAGGTATTTGAATGCCACATAAAATAGAGCATGAAATATTTCTGGCCGACTGTAACGCTAAGATGAACACACTAGAAGAACTGACAGTATGAAAGTTTCCCAGACTTTTCTGTTACCACTATGCTGTTATAAATGATTCATTTGTACCTGGATATATTTTATAATCTGATTGTCTGTGCTAATGATAGTCTTTTGATAAAGAAACAATCTTTCACCCATCAATGGGATTTCCATCATTTTATTGAAAAGTAATCTATTTTTTTTAGTATTGCTAAAACTAAAAAGGAGGGCACATGCGCTCTCCAAAGAGATAGAGAGAGAAAGAAGAAAGTGAGAAAACATCTCCTAGAGGGAATGGCCACACTGCAGTCCCCCTTCTCCTCCACTCTGGTTTTTTTAGTGTTTTGGTTTTTTTTTTTTTCCTATAGGGCACATGCACTCCCCAGAGAGACAGACAGACAGAGAGAGAGAGAGAGAGAGAGAGAGAGAATATGAGAAACCATCCCCCAAAAGGAATGACCCTGCTACAATCTCTTGTCTTCCATTCTCCTCTCAGGATCTTTAGAACAGACGCACGCACACACACATGCTCAGTGTGTTTTTCAAGCCACTAGGTCTGTGATTCAAACAGCAGTCAGCCATGTGGGATCCAGCCACCTTAATCACCATACCACCTGCTGGCCCAGAAAGGTAACCTAATTTCTACATGACGCTAAACATCTCATAGAATTGGAAAAATTAGTAACTGTTTTATATGAATGGTTCAAAGTTTATCACTTTTGAAATTTAAAATACTGATAGCACTTTAATATAGAAATGTTTTCCCAGGTATTTACTGCAGGTTCAATTCAGCACTCAACTTCCAAGTGTCAGTCTCTCCTGACTTGATATATAGAAATAGTACTATTCCCTAGCCACAGGATTGTCGTGAGCTTTAGACAAAACAACATATACGAAATACTTAGCATAATGCCTAGAACTCAGTGAGGGCATAGTATGTGTTGACAATATTGTTAGTAATAGGACACAGTAAACGAAACAGCACAACAAACACACCTAGTATCGGCAGGTCATCCAGCTGCGTTTGAGTTAGACAGATAGGACTGCCTTCAAAGCTGATCTTTTGACCTGCTGTCTCTAATGCTTTATTCACTTCCTCAGTAGCTGCTTTCATCGCTTCAGGGTTCCTATTAAAAGTGAAGGGAAAAGAAAAGATGTACAGAAAATTATTTTTTCCATACCCAAAGAGCTGCAGACAAATAGGCATTTTCCCTTTTGTTCAACTGAAATAGATGGTCAAGGTACCAGGGAAGGGGAAGGGACAGTTCTGTTCGCTTTCATTCATTCGGTAATTGCGTTGACATCCTTGGGTATTCATAAATACCGTAGCCTTGCAAGGGCAGCATAAAAGTAAAACTTCGGTCAGACTTTATAAATAAATAATTCTAAGGGCTGGATGGCTAAATCTGTCATATACATTATCACTTAGAACCAAAAAATTCACCTAAGATAACAATTAGAGGATGATGTTGGCTAAATCCCATGTGGAAATTTAAATTTACTTTTAAAATTCATACCATGGGGTCAGCAGATGGCATAGCGATTACATCACAGGGCCAACAAAGGTGTGGGTCCCGGACCCGGTGGCTTAAAGATCACGCTGGGCATGTGTGTGTGTGTACCCAAGATTGCAAGAGGAGAATGGAAGAGAAGGGATTGTAGCGTGGCCAACTCCCTAGAGGGTGATTTCTCACTTTCTCTTTGACTATCTCTGTCTCTCTCCAGTAAGCACAACCACCCTAATGCAAAGACGACTTTAAAAAATTTAAAATTTGGGACCAGCAGTTGGCATAATGACTATGTCGCTGGAATCCCATGTAGTCAACCGTGGTTCGAGTCCCGGACCTGGTGGCTTAAACCCACACCAGGCATGTGCCCAAGATCCCAAGAGGAGAATGGAAGAGAAGGGATTGTGGTGTGGCCATCCCCTCTGAGAGGGGTGATTTCGGTTTCCCCCTCTGCCTTTTTAGCAAGCGCACACGCCCTATAGCATAAACCTCTCCACAAAAAAAAAAAAAAAAATTAATTCATACTGTGATATCAAGTAGACAACAGCTTTTCCATTCATATTATAATTTTCTTTTTGAGAGGTTTTTGCTATAGGGTGCGTGCTGGTCCCCATATTATAATTTTTAATTGTGAGAGCGAAAACAACTTCATTTTCATATATGAAAGTTTACTGGAGCCTCAGGACCACATAGGGTGCATACGCTCGCCAGAAAGACAGAGAGAGACAGAGAGACAGAAAGCAAGAAGTCACCCCCAGGGGGGATGGCCACACTGCAATACCTTCTCCTCCATTCTCCTCTCAGGATCTTGGCCATGCATGCACATGCGCCGGGCATGAGTTTAAGCCACCGGGTCCGGGACTCGAACCACAATATGCTACATGGGAGTTCAGCAACATAGCCATTATACTAACTTCTGGTCCCATGTTTTAAAGTATTTTTATAATCATAGACTCATCAGCCATCAGTAGAAATCTGGCATTTTGAATTGCATGCTACAGTAATTTTGTGTCTACCTGATACTACACATCTAATTGAAATATTACAGAATAATGCAACAAATCATTTGAATGTCTAATACCCAAAAGATGATTGCTTTGCAAAGAAAGCATGTTATGTAAAATACGTTATATACAGTTTTCTCATTGTTGTTACAGACAATATTAAAAGGCAAATTTAGCTAAATCTATCAATAATAATAATAGATTATAATTTATCTGTAGCTATGATAGTTGGTCAAATAAACAGCAAGATAGCAATTACAAAATGAGTGAAGAGACAAAAATGAACTAATGAATAAAGCCAAGGCACCGCACTGACCGTTCGTTCGCACAGCAGTAGCTGCTTAAATACCTATTTATGAGTATGGAAACTTAAGTTGGCATCATGAGCAACAGTGTGGGCATTAAGCCAGGTGGCCAGGATTGACCTGCCATCAGCACATCCCAGTTCTGTGGCTTCGGGGACGTCTCCTCCTCTGGGACTGTCCACATTTCTATCAATGTGCTTACCAGTCCAGTTGCTTGTGTTTTTGCGAGGACTCAATGAGCACATACATGTTAAACCCCTACAAGTGTTAGGGACCAGCAGTTAGCGTAATGGCTATGTCTCTGGACTCCCAGGTAGTCGGTCGCGGTTCGAGTCCCGGACCCGGTGGCTTAAACTCACGCCGGGTGCGTGTGCATGCGTGCCCAAGATCCCGAGAAGAGAATGGAGGAGAAGGGATTGCGGCGTGACCATCCCCTCTGGGGGGTGATTTCTCACTTTCTGTCTCTCTGTCTGTCTGGCGAACGCACGCGCCCTATAGCTAAAACCTCTCCAAAAAAAGAAAAAAAAAAAAACCTTACAAGTGTTATATTCCTTATTGATAGTATAAAAAGGTACTGTGAGTTTTTTTTTTTTTTTTAGGCTAAATGGTTGAATTTCTGCTTTCTACCAAAATAGAGAGAAATGCACAGGTAAGTTGCTAGTCACCTTATTATTTGGAATAAGCTCCAGAAAGTTGCTGGAATGGTATTTGCTTGCGAGGCCCAGAGGATGGCGAGGTGCGTCCTGGCCTTCTCCATCTCGTCAAAGGTGGAGAGCGTGTCATTCAGGTGCATGCGCAGGCTGACCAGTTCTGAGATGTGGTCCCTGTGTCGCAGGTTCTCATGCTTCAAACCCTCTGCCAGCTTCTCCCGGGCATTGTGTGCAGCCTTGAACAACCGAATGGGGAGGCCTGCGACCAGGGCCGGGAAGACTTCATCAAATTGCTTGAAGTTGTCCAGGTTGTTTAGAATAAGTGCTCTTTGTGCATTTGGCTTGGCAAGATCTCTGCCAAAGAGGGTTAGATACCCAGCTTCAAACATCACCCGGTAGCAGAAGGAGTACATCCCTTCCGTGACCCAGTCAGACAGCTTTGATTTGGAGAGAACTGGAGATCTCATGATTAGCTGGAGGTTTTCCATCATGGCTTCAGTAAGGGAATCCAAGGCATTGCCCTGCAAGGTTTTGATGAAAGTGTTGTTTATGTTTTCAGTGGTGTTTCCATCACTCGGGTCAATGCTTCTGTGCCCAAATGCCTGACAGCAAATACAACGGGAGGAGAGAAAAAGAAATGAAACCATGAAACCTGATGCAGTGCTGGTAAATGACTATAAAACAGATCAGACACTTTCATAATTTTCTACTTGTTAACAAAAAGGGGGAGGAGGAGCAGCAGTTAGTGTAATGGCTATGTCGCTGGACTCCCATGTAGTCGACTGCGGTTCGAGTCCCGGACCCTGTGGCTTAAAAAACTCATGCCGAGCGTGTGTGCGTGTGTGCCCAAGATCCCAAGAGGAGAATGGAGGATAAGGGATTGCAGCATGGCCATCTCTCACTGGGGGGTGATTTCTAGCTGTCTTTCTGTCTCTCTCTGTCTTTCTGGTGAGCACACGTACCCTATAGCAAAAAACTCTCCAAAACAAAACAAACAAACAAACAAACAAAATAGTGGTGTGAGGAGGAATTGGTCTTTTCGGGTACAGTCTTGTAGCACTTTACAAAGGAAGGGCCAAATCATACCCTTCCTTACGATTACTTAAACTCCGGCTCTTCAGTGAAACTTTCCTAACCCGCTCAGGTCCTGAATGTCCTATTTCTAATGCTATTGTGCTTATTTGCACACTAATTTGATACTAATTGGTAATGTTTTTAAATAATTACTTTTCTTTTATCTTCTTTTGTGTGTGTGTGGATGTATTTTAACCAGACATTAGTGGAAAGACATTATCTAATGTTTCTTTGCAGAAACTCAGTAAGTACTGATTACTTGTTTTATCTATAACAGATTCTCAGGTTATATGTAAAAGATGCTAAAATGTCTGTATAATTCCTTAATAAGGCTGCATGGCATAAATGTGATAAAACCGTTGTTGAATAGTAAGTTTTCCACCTCCAAGTTCACTGTGTGTTAGGTAGACATTGTTGATGTGCTAAGTTTATCTCATCTGTCTCACTCAGACAGTGCCATCTGGCTTAGTAAAGCATGTAACTGCTATTTCACCCTCATTAGATGACTAACAAATGGCAAATCTATACCTATTTTGGCTTTGTTAATCATTAGTACTAAGACGTTCTGTCTAATATGATGTACAATGTTTCTAAGAATCTCCACGTAAGAAGAATTCTCTTTAATACATCTATCTTTAAATCCAAGTATATCAAAATCATAAGCAGACTGACATATAAAGAGGTAAAGAATGCTGTATAAATGTGAAAGTGGTTACCTTTGCAGAAGTTGCAAAGTGAAATTTTTTCCAGTCAAAATATTTTCCATGGCACAACACCTTATGGTATGACAAGGGGTTGGTGATAAAGTGGACGTATTTTCCCATTAGATTGCAGGTAAAAACATGGCCGTGTTTCCTTTGATTTGCTCTGAGGAACTCAAGAGGATTGGCACCAAATTGCAGCGCACAGCCCAGATATGGAATCCACCCATTCTCCAGAGGTGGTTCGCCCACTTGCCTGTAAGACATGAAAGTATCACAAGTGTGAAAAATTACATATTCTTTTCTTCTTTAGTCTGCTATAGGGTGCTGTACTCACTGGAAAGACAGAGGAGAAAGAGAGGGAAAGTGAGAAACCACACCCCTCACCGCCAAGAGATGGCCACACCACATTCCCTTTTCTGTTCTCCTCTTGGTACTTTTGAGTACTCATGCACGTGTGCCCATCGTGTTTCTCAAGCCACTGGTTCCAGGACCCACACGCAGTTGCCCATGTGGGATCTGGTCACCTTAACCTCTGCAACACTTGCTGGCCTCACATTTGCTTTTTTTTTTTTTTTTGGAGAGATTTTCACTATAGGGCGCGTGCGCTCGCCAGCCAGACAGAGAGAGACAGAGAGACAGAAAGCGAGAAATCACCCCCCAGGGGGGATGGTCACGCCGCAATCCCTTCTCCTCCATTCTCCTCTCGGGATCTTGGGCACGCACGCACACGCGCCCAGCATGAGTTTTAAGCCACCGGGTCCGGGATGCGAACCGCGGTCGACTACGTGGAAGTCCAGAGACATAGCCATTACGCTAACTGCTGGTTCCCCTTTCATGATATTTCTAGAGTTCTTATTAGAAAATATAAATGTGTTTATTTTCCAAAATAAACCGTTGTCTCTCTTGAGAGAATAACATTTTATAAGGCGCTTATTTTTATTTTCTTAGTTTGAAGATTAAGCAATTCATTGGAAACTGAAAACTATCAGGCCTGAATTAAAATACCTTCAAAAGACTAAGAAATTGACAAAAAGTAGACAACACAGAGATCGACATAGCTGGTGGCTATTCTCTCTTTTGCGGACTGATAAGCAGAGAAATCTACATGCCATCTTCCTGCTCTGTCCTCTCTGTGAGCCAATTAGAAGTTAAGTAAACTGCAGCTATGGATCTGACTCTATTTGTAGTTCACGTATTCTTACGCCAACTGTAAATAATGATACATACAAATGAAAGTGATGTCACATGCACTTAGCAAAGTTTCCCAGTTTATCATGGTTGATTCACATTAATAAGAAAAGAGTAAAAGAATTATCATCTCAGGTTCTATGCTCTGGTTCAGGCTTAGGCTAAGTGCCTAAGAAAATGCACAACTAGCACAAAGAACACATATATTTAGTTAGAGCATTTATTTAATCCTTGTGATAGATTCCACTTGCTATTTATATATCTACTAATTTGGGCTTCTTCTTCATACTTTCTCTAAACACAAAATTTCCATCTGTTATATTTAATAAGTATATGTATTTACACATTACCATTGGTATATGTTGATTCTAAAAAGGGAAACTGTCATATATTTTACTAGATATAGTCACAAGGCATCACTTTAAAATTTTAAAAAATTAAGTTCATCCATATCAATTTTAAAATTTAATTTAAACTTGTAATTAAAAACTTAAGAAAGAAAATGCTAATGTGTATAAGCATAGAAAACCATATTTATTATATACTAATGAAGTAAAAGAGCATTACATGAATGGACTAGAAGGCAACCTAGGAATAAAACTTTCCTTACCTTCTCCTCTTTCCAAGAATAAGCCATAGGCCACAGCACACTGCAACAACAATCACCCAGATCAAAGATATGGTCATTATTATGCAGATCTAGTGTAATATTTCTCAGGAGAAGAACCTGTGATTAGAAAGGGAGGGATGTCACCAAACAGAAACTCAAACAGACGTTTTATATATACAAGAGCCTGATCCATTAACTTGAACTTGGGTGATCAAAGCAAATAATCATTTGTTCATACTATTAGGAAAAAAAAAAGTAGTGTTAACTGGCCTTGAACTAAGTCCACAGTTATCAGAAGAGGTTCCAAAACAATCAGAGACTCGCAATACTTGATAAGTTGAAGGTCTCTCAAATGTATGTTGACTTAACATTCAGACCTGGGGACATCAGCTAATATTACAAGTTTGGTAGGTCTATAAAAATAATAAGTAAATCTGCTCAAGATGAACATGTCTAGTAAATATGTAAAATATAATAACTTAAAGAATAAGTTATTGGGGTCATCAAGTGGCATGATGGTTAAGGGCACTGGACTCCCAAATGGGCAACCCACAGTTCTAGTCCCAGACCTGGAGGCTTGTTTTCTCAATTTCTCTCTCTCTCTCCCTCTCTCTCTCTCTCTCTCTCTCTCTCTCTCTCACACACACACACACACACACACACACACACACACATTCTGGCCCTCTCTGGTCAAATTAAAATAAGTAAATAAAGTTAAGTAAAACAATTCTTTAAAAAAAGATATTTACCAAGCTATGATTTAATTTTGTTATCTTTTTAGGAAATCAGTTTAAATGATTTGCCAGAGAGATATAGTGGTCAGTTCAAAGGAAAGAGAACTCAGTGAAAATTTTCTGCTATTTCACTCCAGTGCTTTTACAGAATCATAGATCTTTTACTACATAGAGTAGCATGTTACTTGCCTAATAGTTTCAGGAAAGAATGTATTCCACACAAATGGGCCTTCCAGACAAACAGAGTTAATTTCAATCATCAAAACTCTATCAGACGGGACCAGCAGTTAGCGTAATGGCTATGTCGCTGGACTCCCATGTAGTCGACCACGGTTCAAGTCCTGGACCCAGTGGCTTAAACTCACACCAGGGGCGTGTGCATGCATGCCCAGGACCCTGAGAAGAGAATGAAGGAGAAGGGATTGTGGCATGGCCATCCCCCCTGGGGGGGGGTGATTTCTTGCTTTCTGTTTCTCTGTCACTCTCTGTCTTTCTGGCGAACACACGCATCTTATAGCAAAATCCTCTCCCTCCCCCCCCAAAAAAACAACTCTATAAGCTATTTCTGTAATTCAAATATGTTTATAAATTTTTCTAGTTTTTAAGTCAGTGCATTTTATTTCAAATAATCTAAGAGTAACTGAAACATATCTTGATAAAAAGTGAACATCGATTTATACTTTATCTCCCATATTCCTCTCCACTCAACCACAACCACTGTCAAATATTTAGCATGGCTTTCCAAAGTTTGCTTTGGAAACTTTGAAAATACTCATTGAACATTCATTGTGTGCCAGTATCTCTTAAAAAGCATTCTGGGTATAGGAGTTAGTAAGATAGACAATTTCCCAATTATGATGAAGACTATTCCAGTGCAGAAACAGATAATACAATATGCATCATGAATAAAATAAAGCAGGGTATCAAGAGCTATTGAGAGATGTAGGAAACTTTATAGGTATTGATCAGAGAAGGACCCTGAGGAGATGACCTTTGTGATGTGAATGACAAGAAGCAATTACTCATGTGAAAATAAGAGGAAAAACATTCCAGGAAGAGGAAACAGCAAATGCAAAGATCCTGAGTAGGGAGGAAATTTGATATGTCAAAGAACCAGAAAGAAGATAGAATAAATTAGAACAGAGTGAATAAGGAAGAAACTGGCTAAGACAAAAGACAAAAAGGTAGACCAGAGCCAGTTCATAGAAGGATGCTTGGGAGGAAGAAGAGAGGATTGGGAAGGCAACAAGTCAAAATACCATTTTGGACATTCAAAGTTTAGAAGACCTGTTAGATCCAAGTGTCGCTGTCAGATTGACAGTTGAGTAGAGGAGTCTGAGTCAAAAGAGAAAGAACAAGGTTGGAAATATGGATCCCAAGTTTCAACATCTGCGTGGTATTTAAAGCTGAGAGACCCTATGAGATCACCTAGACAGAAAGTACAGCCAGAGAAATGAGTACAGTCCCACACCGTGCCAGTGCTGCATTCATAAGGCCAGTGGAGAAGTAGAGAAAAGGCATGGGTAAGGAGGAAGAAAATCTAGAAAATATGCTGTCACAGAAAGCAAGAGTAAAATGTATTTGAAGGATCCTGATGTGGATACCGTACTTCAGCTCTGAAATATTGGTTTCCTTGACCAAAAGTGAAGAGTATATGCTGAGACTTCCCCCTCAAGACTCATTTCTAGTGGCCTCTATGCACTAAGTGTCTAGATAGGTCCAAGTGAACAATTTCCAATTATCTGAATATGATTGGGGTCAGAATATCCCTTTCATCACCAATCTGATGCACAAAGAGTGAAAACGTAATAGAAGAAAGATTGCAGATCACCTCTCTGCTCACCTCTTAACGCTCAGATTGAACTTCAAGAATTAGGAAGTAATGCACCATCCATCAGATAACTAGAAACCACCACAGGATCACAAGAAATATGGGGAAGCAAGACAACACCTCTCCTTCAAGGGAAAAGAAGAACACCTTTTCATCCTCAGACAGTACAATGAAACTCGTGGAAATGTCTGATAAGGATTTTAGAATATTCATAATGACGAAGCTAACAGAGATAGAAGAAAAGAGAGACAATGAACCACAGAAGAGGCAGGAGAAAGGAGCTGACGAGTTCCAGGAGGTGAGGAAATTCTTGCAAGATCTAAAAGAGGAAATATACACTATAAAAAAGAATCAAATGGACCTGTTAGAGGCGAAGGCTATAATACAGAAAGTCAAAATCTCCTTTGAAAGAATTAAAAGCAGGCTAGATCATACAGAAAATCAAATCTCAGTTGTAGAAAATAGAATCGCTGGCTTAGAAAAATCCACCATGAAGACTGAGAAAATGGTGCCCAAAAATGAGAATAATATACAAGAAATGCTAGATACCATTAAATGTCCAAACATCCAGATAATTGGTATCCCAGAAGGTGAAGAGACTCATAAGGGCATTGATAATCTATTCCATGAAATCCTACAAGAAAACATTCAAAGTGTTAAGGGAAAAGCAATTGCAACCAAGAATACTGTACCCTGCAAGATTATCCTTCATATGGGAGGAAAAGACAAGAATATTCTCAGATAAACAAAACCTGAAAGAATTTACCAACGTCAGACCACATCTCCAAGAAGTTGTCAAGGGAGTGCTATACCAGGAAAATTAAATTCAGACACACAGAAATAAGAGTTCAAAAACTAAGAAAATGGCCACCTTAATCATAGAGACACGTCTGGAGTTGAATATTATATCTTAGAATTTAATCAGGAAGGTCGGGCCACAACAGAAGATAGATTAAGTTACATGAGTCTGAATTGGTGAAATAGCATTTTATGACTTTTGACTAAAACATTGATTTTCTTCTAGGCTTTGTTTTCCAGTTTTAAGGATTTTTGTCCTGTTTTGAGCTGCCAGTAGGTTCATGTACCTACTATTTGAACAGAACCCTTGTGGGAGGCTGCGCACCAGTGAATAACCCTGGTTTCTCAGAGAGCAAACAACTACACAATGCCAAAGGCCACAATTGGCTCCCCTTCAAAACTTCACCTTCAAAACCATACTCTGATTGGCCACTTCCCATAGCAAATCAGTGAGCTTAGAATCCCTCAGATTTGCATATCCAGCATCTCATTATTGGTCCACAAAAGCAACCAATCATAACCCACCTTTTACAATCCTTCATTTAACCAATCACCACCCACCAACATGTATATAACCACAATCCCTGGCCCACAATAAACGGACGACCCTGAAGAGTTGTAACACTGCATCGTCTCCGTGTTGTAACACTGAACCATTCGTCCTATCTCTCACTCCTTCCCTCAGGAAACCTGTTTGACTGTCCTGTGGGTCAGGACAAACCCTAACCTGTTTCCTGGCTTAAAGTTTTAAGTAAAGTCCCTTAGTATTTCTTTGATTTATTAAACCTAAAAGTGCTTTTCTTGAAATTAAAAATATATATTAAAATACCTTTTTAATGACTGTAGTATCCTTTATAGCATCAGCTAGGTATTACCTTATAGTATATTCAATCTACTCAGAGTTTCACAGCTAAAGACAGACATGTAATCACTGATATATACATACCAGCTAAACTTGCTATTTAAAGTAGATTACTTAAGACATTTTGTGAATCAATGTGAATCACATGTGGGGAAAGAAGGAAACAACTGTAGACACCTAAGATTGTGTGGGAGGAGGGTGGGAGATGGCAGAGGGTGAGAAATAGGGGTAAATGCATGTATACATATGAAACTAGAAATGGAAAGTTAATCACGATAACATGTATGATTAAGCCACTATGCAGTATATTTTGGATGGGAAATCACATTTGGTATGCTGTGACAATGCTCAAGGAATTAATGTAAATTAATTAATTTAAAATGTTTCAGAAGAAAATTACAGTGCACTTGTAACTAGATGGTAGCTTTGTCTATAGTTTTAGTTTCAGGTATTTTGTGAATCAATAAAATGTGGGGGGAAAGGTAAAATAATAATAATAAAATTAAATTAAAAAAACAACAACAAAAATGCATTTGAAGAAAGATGAATGATTATGTCACATGCTACTTTTTTTTTTTTTTTTTTTTTTTGCAGAGATTTTCACTGTAGGGCGCGTGCGCTCGCCAGACAGACAGAGAGAGACATAGAGACCGAAAGCGAGAAATCACCCCCCAGGGGGGGATGGTCACGCCGCAATCCCTTCTCCTCCATTCCCCTCTCGGGATCTTGGGCACGCACGCACACGCGCCCGGCGTGAGTTTTAAGCCACCAGGTCCGGGACACAAACCGCGGTCGACTACGTGGGAATCCAGCGACATAGCCATTACACTAACTGCTGGTTCCCTCACATGCTACTTTGATGTCAATTAAGATGAAGAAAAAAGTGACCCCTGGATTTGACAACATGAGAGTTGATTACACACAAACACA